AAGTAGCTGCTCTGACTGCAGGAGTGAGTCAAATAGAAAAGCCCATGTCTCAGTAGGTTTAAAGTCCTCTTTCAGATATCCACTACAGCTGGAGCATATTATCAAGAAGAAAAAAATCTCTTCTGCAGAGAAACAGGCTAGTATATTCTCCCACAGAAGATATTTTTAGTACCTGAAATTTTTGTACCGGAGCCCTTTCTGACTACAAGATGCATTACCAGCGTACCTGGCAAAAAGCAAGTAAGGACAATCCAACAACGAAGATGGCCAAGTGAAAAGTTTTTGCAAAAAAAAAAACCAAAAACCAAAGCCAGCATGCTCTTAGGAGAGGGAACTCTTCCTTTTCAGTCAGTCCAAGAACTCATACGCAAGGTTGGTGAAATTAGCTCAGCGAAATGAAATGTGTTTTCTTTTTCTCTTTGATTTAGCGGCTATAATGGTTGAAGTTTTCCACTACCTTGTGTAAAGGGTTGCAACGAAGGTGGTACAAATCAGAAACTCATGTTGGTCTAAAAAACATTCTTGTCTGCCCAGGCTGGCTGTAGGGCAAAGAACCTTCTAGAAGTGTGGACAAGATGGGATGGGACACTTGGCCAAATGCCCCCTTGAGGGCACTTTCCCAGCTGCTTTTCCCCTCTGAGCACCTAAGTGGAAGAGATGAAAAAGCTGAAGGATCTGATGCCCTTCTGCTGGCAGGGTAGTGTGGGACAGAGTTACCACAGTGCAAGGGGACAACACTTGAAGAAATACTTGTTGAGAGACGAGCTGCTGCAAAGCTCGATGGAAAACGTAAGCAGAACAAGAAAAACCCACCAGGACACCTAGAATGACTGCCAGGAGACGCGTCAGTGGGAGAACTAAGGGGGCAAAACGCCTTCGACAGCAGTGACCGAGTGCAAGGCCGTTAGAGGTCCTGGGGAAACTGATGTATCTGGGCGCTTGTGAAGGCCAGCAGTCTCACCAGAGAGCTGGGCCCTTCGCTCCCTCCAAACGATCCACGCGTTTTCTTGCCCGATCAGTCTCACTGTCAGAAATTGCTCCTGTTTGGCTGAAAGCGGGGACAGGCAGAGCTCGGCCCTGCTGGCTCCTGCTGCCCGAGGCCGTGGGACGCGTGCGGGATGGTTGGCACAGCGACCTGGAACGTGAACATGCCCCCCCCCGCCCCCCCCTGCAGCTTAAATTGCAGAGAGCCCCTGTGGGGTGCTCCCAGGGCCATGGGGGGGGGTGTAGGACCGATCGTCCGCGGTGGTTAATACTTCACTGCATAAAGCATCCAGTGAAGTGGCTGCGAAGAGCAAATGGCCTGTTTGATACAATCATCCGTAATTAATGCGGTTCCCCACACGTGCGACGTTTGATTATGTGGCACTCGGGGCCAGAGGGGAGGAGGCCTGGCGCAGGCGAGGGGCAGATTTCCTTCTCGGGCTTTTATACAGATTGTCCCACCCTGCGAGTTGGCCCACCTTGAGCTTCTCCATTCACTGGGGGGGTTTTCCCTTGATTTGTTATTACCGTGCTCTGTGTTCCCCCCCCGCCACCTTTCAGAGACTAAAACCTTCCCGTGCCTTTCGACAGGCGTGTTTTGGAGAAAGGTGAGGCAGGGGAAGTGAGCTGCGGTTTCGTCTTGGGGCCCTGTCACAAAGGGTGGGACAGTGGGCTGCGAAGTCGTGCCCATCTCTGAATTTCAGCCTTCATCGTCACCGCAGCCAGCGTGGAGGGTGGGTGCGCAGCAACATGTGCTTTCAATAAAGCTGCTATTATTGTTTTCATAATGCTTCCATGATTGCCCCAGGGCCTTGTACAAAGTCACCAGACATACGGCACCAAAAAGATCCCCTCCCGTCCTCCAGTGTAAAAATCTCTTTTCAGAGCCAGTGCCAGCACCGGGCAGGATTGTGGCGGCCCCACTGCTCTGAGTTCTCACACTCCTCAGACGTCCCTTCGCAGCGTTCTCCCCTCCGGCTGGGAACAGCTCTCAAGTCACACAAAGCAAAATTCTTGTGAATCCTCTAAAACCCACTGACAAATGTTACGGTGGCTGTTCTTCTGCCCAGACGGGAGCTCCGACTTTATCTGTCGCACACAGTCCGTCCTCGTCAGATGTGTTGTGCACCTAGCCAGGCTGTGCAGCGCCAAGCATCCCTGGGTGGGTTTGCGTTTCCAGACCAGCGTGCACGGAGGTCTCCTGACCCTCTTACCATGATGTTGTGAAGTAGCCCAGCTGGAAACTGGAGCAAAGGAAAGTTGAAGAGCTTGGCAAAATGTCACACTTCTTCGGGATAAAGTACAGAGCTCCTGAGGATGAAAGTGCAAACTGAAGGCCGTGTCTGACTGATAGCCATGCGCGCAGGAGAGCGCGCCGCGTGCACGTTTATCTGTCCCTTGTCGACACTGCAACCCTCTTAACAGCTCTTCTCAGCCCCGCTTAGGTGGAACTCCGTGACTTCACTGTCCCTCTGATGCCCACAGGGCTGGATGCATGGCGGTGAAGGGAGGGTGTCTGCTGTCACCTCGTCCTGGACTTATCTCAGTCAATGGAAGCTTAATAGTTCCTGAAATGGGAAGAAGAGGCTGCTTAGGCAGGACTATAGTTGTCTTCCAAGGACAGTTTTACCCAGTTTGGCTTTCTGAGTTGGTGGTGGACTGTGGATCACTGCAGCGTTTCACAATGCAGAGCTTTATAGGAGAAAACATCAGAGCAGGATGAATGCTGCCCAGGTAAACTGTATTTATTGCACAATAACCAGAATACCTAGATTTGAACTACAGTCCTACCCCATGCAAAACTTGATCCCAGTTCTTCTCCCTGTACACGCTCTTTTGATTTTATTTTTATTTTGTTACTATTGACTGCCACTGCAGGAAGATGGAACTGAGTTCCTCATACTGTAAAAAAAAAATAAACGCACAGTAGCAAGTATCTCAGAAGATTCTCTTCCAGCAGTGAGATCTGCAGCATTGCTCCATGTAGCTTCTGTTCCCTGATGGCAGCCGCAGGGGTACTCACAATGGTGTCCTGGTGCCCAACACGAAGATACTTGAGGGCTTGTTGATGCAGCAAGATGAAAAGGCACAGTTCAAACAGTACTGGTCACCACAAAGTGGATAAAGTCACCAGACTGGGGTTTTTTTGAGAAATAGATGAGTTTGCTGTTGTCCAAATTACAGGTGGGTAAATTCTGCTCGTCTGAGCACCTCCTTGATGAGTCTGGTTAGCCTGGAGAAGAGAAGACTGAGAGGGGATCTGATCAACACTTATCAATATCTGAAGGGTGGGTGTCTGGAGGAAGGGGCCAGACTCTTCTCTGTGGTGCCCAGTGACAGGACAAGGGGCAACAGGCCCAAACTGGAACACGGGAAGTTCCATCTCAACATGAGGGAAAACTTCATCCCTCTGAGGGTGACCGAGCACCGGGACAGGCTGCCCAGAGAGGGTGTGGGGTCTCCCTCTCTT